TAAAAATCTAACCGTTCTTTGATAGAATATAGAATAAAAATGGTATGTACCTTTAGCCACATACGATAATCAACATAGTCAAATTTGAATTCAATTATTTATTACTCATTGTCGTATGCGGGTAGGTACTCCAGAATCTCCATCCTAAGGAAACCTTTTTCAGAGAACGAAAAATATTGGATCATATATCACTTCTCAAGCCTTTCAACTATGTCCATACAGACCCACATCATTCCTTCACTACGTTTCGATATAAAATACGAACAAATGAATTACGTACGCTTAGATACCTGCTCTATGTATTTTTCTACCATTTTCAACAACCATAGGTGATCTATTTTACACATAAGCATAACGACTAAAATTTCGCAAATAAATTCTATTCATTGAAAAACTGTTCATTGATTAAAACCTGACGAAGCACCGTTTGGACATATAACATATTATACTTTCCACATTGATGCAGAAATAAAGATTCTTGATTTTTGGAATGTTCTAAGAACTTACTCAATAATTTTGTAATTTCGCCTGCTGCAAATTCATTTTGTTAAATTGCCACAAAACTATTATACATACACCTAAGATTTTATATTCTTATTTTCTCGAGTGGTAAAAACAAATATATATATATATATATATATATATATATATATATATATATATATATATATATATATATATATATGCAAAATAATCTGTTAAATTTGGCAGTTAAACGAAAGCCTTTTAAATATTCTTACTTTATTTTTAGTTATTATATGATAATATTTTCAGTAAATCCCTTCATTTACATATTCTACACAGATTATAGTAAAGCTTTTGATCGAATTTCTTACAATATCCTTTTCTACAAGCTTGAATTGATCGGTATACGCGGCAACTTGTTGCGATGGTTTGCCTCTTATGTTGAAATTCGTTGCCAAGCCGTGGTTATCAAAAATTATATCTCCAGCTGGGTCACGGATCCCAGTGGTGTGCCTCAGAGGTCGCTGTTTGGGCCAATACTGTTCAGCATCATTGTGAATGATATTGACTTATGTTTACATGCATCAAAACTTTTATGCTTTGCAGATGACATTAAAATATTCGCCAAGATACGTGGTCTTGACTTATATACGATAAACTAGCTTTTGCCCGCGACTTCGTCCGCGTGGTAAAGTTACTTTGAGTAGCATTTCCGATGAATATTTATCACTCTTAAGCCATTTATTCATTATATCTTGTAAAATACCTGAAATAAAGTTTCATATTTTATCCCCTTAGGAGTGGAATTTATCAAAATCCTTTCTTAGAGGATGACTACGTTCATAGTAGCTGTATGCATGCAAAATCTCAGCCCGATCGGTTTAAAATTGACAAAGTTTCATTCAAACTTCCATCCCCTATTTTATCCCCTCAGGGGTAGAATTGATCAAAATTCTTTCTTAGCGGATGCCTACGTCATATCATCTACCTGCATGCCAAATTTCAGCCCGATCTGTCCAGTGGTTTGGGCTGTGCGTTGATAGATCACTATGTCAGTAAGTAACCTTTGAGTTATACATATTTAGATAGATTACCGAGGCTTATATATGATAAATTACAGATTGAACTCAAAATTGCTACCTAATTTTAGGGCGAACTATGTGGATCTGTAATTGGTTATCTGATGTATGTATCGATATTGTAAGATCAGTTATGCAACCGTGGATCTACCATGAAAAAAAAATGAAATTGCCTGAAAAATTATAGTCCACCATCTTGGGTGATCCACCATATTGAATTTAGAATGAAATAAATTTAATTAAAAAATAAAAAGGAATTAAATCAAACTATTCAGGAAGATATTATAATTATTATTACCTATTTACCGTAATATAAGGAATATAACGTTATAAAAGCGTAGATTGTGTGACAAAAACAATATAATAATTAATAAATTATAAATAAACATCGCATACATTGCTCAGATTCCAAAATGAGTATGGAATATCTGAGACAACGATGGTGCCATAACACCCAAACCTGAGACAACACAGAAATGAATCGAACCCGGGACCTCAAAGATGGCGACACTATGAAAGCGGCGAACCACTCAGCTAGGGAGGTCGTCTCTCATAATTTGTACTCAGATTGCAATATATGACAAGGCAAGCTCATCACCACGTCACAATGCAAAATACTGTTGTGTATATGTTTCCAACTATAATACATAAATATTAATAAAATAAATAAATAAAAAAATTGACAAAATCTCATTCCCTCAGATATCAAATTAAGAAGCTAAAAAGTACATTTTCTTATAAGATTGTATATGAAAGACTATTTTAATAAAATCGACGTCTTATACTACAGGAAACTATAAGTGATTTAAATAATGAAATCACAGTAGCTAAAGCACTAGTATTACTGAAAATCTGAATCAATGAAGGTAGCACAGCATACAAACCCAAACGATATAGAAACATTCATTTTATTTATATCTATTGAACTTACCGTGAATCGAACTTCAGAGATAGACTCCTTGAAACCGGCGAGTCACTCGGCCTAGTAGATTGTTATATAGTAAGTATGTCTAATAATAAAAAACCTTAGTAATATTATGCTGATTCGTTCAATCAAACTTTTTTCATTAGGCAACTCCGTGTGGGTGCCATTTTTCCTTGAAAAATATCGTGCAATCACAGCGACTTTTGCTTAATATATTCTGAAAATACGTTATATTTTTACTAATAATAGATTTTTAAGCATTTTCCACAAATACTATTTTTAACTATAGCACTGTAAATGCAAAATTGATCAAATATAATAATTATAATAAATTTTTTATCTTTATCGTAAGTTTTAAATATTTATAAAGATATTCCTTTCGGCTGTTTGGGTAGATTGCCTGAACGTTGATGAAAATAATCTCACTAACAAAGAAAGAAAAAGAAAGAGAAAAATTAAGTGTTTGACAAATTCGTCAGTCCTGTTAGGTCCTGGGTAGCTCAGTGGTTAGAGCGGGCGCCCAGATTGCTAAAGGTCATGGATTCAAGTCCCATCTCAGAGTGCCAGAGACAAAGTGAACTTTTTTAATTTTTATTAAGAATATGTTTCAATAAAAGCAAAATTTATCAAATTTAAAAATAAATTGGCTTTATATCATCTTTATTGTTTTGAAAACATTAAATTTGAAATAAGCAGTGCCATTGTATTAATGTCTGTTACATTTGTTCATGTGAAATTATATATTGTGTACAAAATAAATAAAATTAATATATAAAATCAAACAAAATGGAAAAAACTATTACAACTGTCTCTTTTGATAAATACTTTCTTGTTATTCATTAGCTACGTTTTAATGAAATCGGCCAAAGAATACTCCAACGCTTAATAATGTCAAAATTGTTTTCCAAAAAGGCTCTCTGAATTGATCCTTGTATCCTAAGCTTCGAGATTCTGTTACAAAGGTCATATTTTTTACAAATTAACTTTTCGCCTGCGTGGGACACATGATATTCGAATCCCAACTTAAACGCCTTAGAGGTCAAATTTAGCACAACCTTTTATTAGTTGTTTGTTATAATTTGACATCTTTGGAAACGTGCCGCGGTATTCCTGGCACAATGCGGATTGAAGGGTTTAACAACTGTAAATGCAGCCGGGACCAACGGTTTAACGTGCCTTCTGAAGCACGGAGTAGCTCGAGATAATAATATTTTGGTCACCCAGCCCGTGACCGACCCTTGCGAAAGTTGCTTAACGACAACGATCGTGGGTTGTGGCGCTTATCCACTACGCCACCGAGCTACTTCATAATCATTAAGAAACAAGCTTCTTACAAATTTGTAGCAATTTTGAAACTCTTGTGAAGTATGTAGCTATTCTACATACTTCAACGAGCGCCACCATCGGGTGTTAGAGCGCCTGACCTTCGCATTGGGTACCTACTGAGTGATGAATACCTTAGTACTTCAACATACAGAAATATTGAGCTTTAGAATGTTCTTGTACATATTTTCACGACCTCTTACAGTCAGACTATAAACCAAGTCTCTAATGACTAAAGAGGTTAAGAACCACTGCTCTATGCCGTTACAATTGTGTCATAACTTAGTGTGTTGAACTCAATCCCATAACCCGAGAAAGAGGTTGAGCTAAGTGTAGATCAGCCTGTCAATCACCTTCCCATTTTATCATCCTTATTTACATATATACACGTATTTCAACTCATTTTTAACCTTATTTTACACACGTTTTTACGACTATGAGCAACAGGTAGTCAAGTCTGAGAAATATTACATAAAAATTAATAAATTCATTGTTTCTCAAAATATTTGAATCACTTTTTTTACCCTTTGCATAAATGCAATTCATAAGATTGAACCAATTTTGAAAACATTTGTGCCATTTGTCCTCCGTGATGATGTCAGATTCATGTTATTCATACTATTCCACAGCCACTTGTTATAAAAACCGTTGTTCCCGTAATCTGTACTTGATTTTTGGGAATATAAAAAGTCCTGGACTGATGCTGGAAAACTCAAACATAAATTCTGCATCTTTCGCCTTCAAAAACTCATTTGTTTGTCTGGCTATATGGGAACTTGAGTTATCGCGATGCAAGATGATACGGCGTCTATCATTATTTTCCCGAAGATAATCAATAATTTTCTGTAAACAAATGGTCGTGTACCAGTCACTATTCGGAGGACGACGATTTTATAGAACAACAGCAGCCATGTGTCCAGTTTTATTTAAAAAAAGCAATCATTTGATATAAATGACTCGAAGCGCCACTTTCATTGCTTTCGACTCGTATCAAAAGACCCATACGCTCTATTGCTCTTTGGGATCATGGCTATGAATCCATGTTTCGTCACCAGTTACATTTTGCAGAATATCACAATACTATTCTGAAAAATGTTTAAAAAATCCACTTTGTCCCAAGCACTCTGACTTTAGTAAACAAAACTCCTTATTCAACAGATGACGGGGGACGGTGCCTGCCAGCGTTTGCAGGTCGGAAACTTGGCGAGATGTGCAACAGGGAGAACCAATGTGACGCTGGACTGATTTGCGAGGAAGTTGTACCAGGTGACTTAAATAAAATCGATTTTACAGCATTACTCATAAATAATCATGAATCTCTGTTGCTGATTATATAAAACTTAATTTTTATTGCTATAGTTATCAGACCTATGCAGAAGCTTTTAGATTTATCATAGTTATATTGAGCCATTATAATTTAATAAATGAAAATATTATGAAATTCTGCTAAAGTAATATTTGATAACACCAAATTTTACTACCTGAAAACGTCTTCTATAAATACATGACACTATTTACTTTGCCCGAAACGCCTGCGAAATTTAAAGAGCAACGCGCCGCAAATCTCCAACAGATTCGACCCGCATAAATATTAATAAGGCGCTAAGGGCCTTGCTTCAGCTTGAGCTCACGTAAGAGAATTGTTTTGAATGTATAAATATATCATGTTTAACATAGATATTTCTGTATGAGTTTTCTTTTTATAGAATTTACATTCAAATGGAAATTCTACATGTATAAAGTATATAATTAATAACATATAGGTACATATATAACCCAAAAACAGTTGATTTTTAAGTAATTTTTTAATTTTTGTACATTCACGACTTTGATCAATGTGGATGATAATATTCTTCTTCCAATTCTGTATTTTCTTTATGCCTTTTAGAGTTTTAACCCAATTCTTCTCTGGGCCAACCTAGGAAAATAATTTACCATAAACACCATTACCATTTTTCATTAATACTACGGCACAACTATGGCACAACTATATAGAATAGCTAAATAATATCGAAAAAACTAACCGCTCGACAAATTTGGCACACTATAAATTTACATGCGGCGACAATACGACGATTAGGATGTACATACAAAAATGATCTAACGAGTGAAGAGTGTCCCTTGCTTACTGTTGTCCTTCAGTACTGCACGGCCCCCATATATGTATTTTTCAAACTGTATTGTTGCTTCTTGTAACGTAATGTTGTATTTGTCACAGGTGAAATGCGTATTTGCCGCGCACCGACCTCAGGCCACAAGCAGTACAACGAAGACTGCAACTCATCCAGTGAATGTGACATCACACGTGGACTATGCTGCATCGTACAACGCCGTCACCGACAGAAGCCGAGGAAGGTACAGTCGACACCTTTAACCTGTTAGGAGTTCAGTTCAAAATCGAAGCAATTAAGTCTAAAAAAGGCGTATTCCGAGATGGATTCCGAAATAATTTATAATATACGGATATTAATCTCCTGAAACAGTTCCCAAACAAGTCTACCTAGGAGAACCTCAAATGGTCCAAGATTCGACGGGGGAATTTTTAACGAGTTTTGGTAATTTGGTAGAATTGCAGTATCAGGCCAATTTCAAAGTGACATAAGAGATCAGAAATTTTAGAACCTCTCCAGCGATCAAATTAGGTGTTTATACAGAAGTTAATGTTAGGTCTAATAAGATATATAATTACTGGATCTCTATAAAAAGATTTAATACATGTTTAGTACATAAACAATCCAAAAATAAACACAAATACATATAACACGAAATAAACTGTTTCTGAATGAATTTGATTTGTTCTTTTAAACTTATTTCATGTTAATGCTAATATAAAAATAAGAAAGAATATTAATATAGATCCCAAGTTTCTATTTTAACTGTTGCGAAAAGACCCTTTTATTGCAATATAAACGTACATATTTCATTACCATATATTTTATTCTAATTGAGGTACCTAATACATATAAATTTACATCAATATGTAAAACACAAGATAAAAAAGTTTTAGACTTACAAATTTCCTTTGCCTTTGAAGGATCTACAGAATATTAATTCTTGTAATTATTAAGAAAGCTTTCACGAAAATTTCAATTAGCTTTTTCAGTAATTGTCCAATTACAAGACCATTAGGACAAAACTTATAAAATGTAATGTCCTTTGGAGTTTAAACTCAAATACACGTTGTAAAGGCCCGTCTGTATTTTCATATTACATAATTAGAACTTAGTAACAATATATACAACGACCTCAAATTGTCTTGCTATACTTTTTTATTGTCCAAAGTAAAATATATTTTATAATTTTTTTAATACTTATATATAAGTTTATTAAAAGCACATGCTTTTTAATCGATTATTTGATCAGAATATCTTTCAAATACTACTGATTAGTGTTAATTATTTTAACAGTTATCTTTTTGTTTCACAATCGGTTCTGAAACTACAGACCGGAACTGTAATCTCGTGATGGCTTTCAGCTAACCTTAAACCGGACCAACTTTTAATCAAACTTGAGCTGTACTGGCGTGCATAAATACCGCAAAAGCAGGATTTATTTGAAAATATATGATTATTAAAGTTATTTCATGATAAAAACGAAAAAACGCAATGTCATGATTGATTTGAAAATATATCATTATAAAACCTTTTTTTGATAAACCTACCAATGAATTTTTTTTTTCTTTTTTGCAGAGCTGCGGTTATTTCAAGGAACCCTTAGTCTGCATTGGCCCAGTAGCTACAGATCAAATACGCGAATTCGTTCAGCATACAGCTGGTGAAAAGCGCATTGGCGTTTACAGATTGCATTAAAACGCAAAAGCATACAAACACACATAAACTAAACGAAATTCGGAACTGTATTTTGGAATATTTTTTGAGATTACATTCTTTTGAGACCCTCAATCTCTTATTTTTTTGTTTCGTTTTAGTTTACGTGTGTAAAACAGATTCTAAAAATTGTTCTATTGATAAAAAAATGGTAATTCATAAATATTTTAAAATACATGCTTGAAACAGTGGTGTCCTATTTTTATCAATGGAATAATAGGTAAGCAAAGAGAAAATATTAAAATTGTGTCAGAATTTTGTGAGTTTACAACAAAATCATAAATATTTTTAATTTAAAAATCTAAATAATGTACACATTTTTAACATTTTTTCTTAACTTAAACGTTTCTAATGTATTAATAACAATTCATGAATAAAAGAAAATTAATATGTAACTAACAATATTTATTTCCGAAACTTTTGCTTATTCGATATTAAAAAAAAAAATTGTTGATTATTACATTAGAAACGTTGTCGATGAAACCAATGGTCGAATTGCTTTGAATAACGGTCAACTGAATAGCAAATATTTTTTTTACAAGTTTCATTACGAAAAAATTTCAAAAATATTTAAATAGTTGAAAAAAGGCAGACATATCACTTTTAGTTACTAAGTTTACTATAAATTATATGTGTAGATTTCTAGAATTAAATACTAATATATATTTAATTAAAAATATTATAAATGTTTGACAATTAATCATTACATAATTATCAATGTTATTTCTGTAATAGTGATTAAAAACGCGATATATCGAGTCGCGTCTTATTATTAGTAACATTTTAATGTGTTTAATCTTTAAATTTAGAATTAATTAATTAAAAAGAATATATATGTATTAAGTCTTGAAAACATTCAATCAAACAATACATATCTTACTGGCTGAGGCATTTACATAGTTTTTAATAATAATATTGATGTTAAAATTTAATATAATATTTAATATTATTAATCTATGAAACATATCATTATAATAAGATACAATCTAAGTGTATAAATTAAGTTTTTCGCTTGTGTTTTTTAACTAACTAATGATAACCTCTAAATATGCTAGGTGCCTAGGTAAAGACATATCAATATTATAATGATAATTAAATATATATATTTATAATTAAATACTTATTTAATTTTTTTACACTTAACGTAACTTACTACTTTACATTACAGAATACTCCTTTAGTTCTAAAATTAGCCTAAGAACTGTGATGTGGAGATATTTTCTTAAATTGTTACTAAACTTTATCATATTTTAAATAAATAAATTAGAATGAGAAACATATATTTCCTGTCGAATGCCGTTAAAGATATCAAATATCTTCTTGTATTAAAAAAAATACTTTTTGGTGATTTAATTATTCTACTTATCTTTTTTTTTTTACTATATTAAAATGGCCTAAGGTGTAGAGATTGGCTTCATAGATGGGATGTAATAGTAGCATCGATAATTCGGCGTTAAAACGTTATATAACCTTATATGTTGTTAGTAGATATAATTGAAATACAATGTTTAACGTACAGTGTATTTATGTGTTATATTACATAAATTATGTCAGCAGTGTCGTTGTTATTTCGCGTTTCCTAATTTTATCCGTTTCAGACGCTGATATTAATTCTTCCCAACTCCTTATGAGACCTACGCTGGGAAAAGGGATGTTTCCTGGTTAAAAAAAAAGAATTCTATTTAGCCCATCAGTCAGATAATAGACAATTATTAGGTATTGTATGTATTTGTATTTTTTTGCTTGAATTTAACAAGAAATGGCTAAGATAATAAGTTAAGAGGCAATAAAGTCGAGAAGGGGGGCACTACGTCACAACTATGTAGAAAATTTACAAGAGGGTAAAATCATGAGACATTTTAACGTAATGTAACGTCGTAATTTATTGATAACAAACAAACAAACAAAAATTACTCATCTTCCCTATTGACGCCACTAGTTCAAATGATGTGTCGCAAGAAAGGGACTTGATGTGCACATTTAAAAGTATTTGTTTATTTCATTTAGTCTCGATGCTTGGTGTAAATATTTTAAGAAATTAGATAAAATTGTCCCAACACTATAAATTGACATTCCGTGTAGCGTCCACAGTTTTATCTGCCTTGCTCTACCATACATAAGTAGGGTAATATTGGGCATTCTGTCCCCCACTCGTTCGTGTCGACGTTTTGCCGCCACTCACTCATGGAATGACAGTATGCCCAATATTACAAATAGATATTACATTCATTTGATGACGGTTTTTTGACGAAAATCCATAAAATGTTTCTGATTACTCGCACTTTATATAAATAGTCAAATTTGTACAAATTGACTCACTTTATCTAGGACACCCGAAAGAATTGCTTACTACTATGAAATTTATAAAACAATCTGAAACGTTGCAATTGGATAGAATTTGTTCAGATACTGAGACAGTTATTTCTCGACATGGAAACTTGCTTCCTAATTCAGTTCGGTGTTTAGTTTGCGGTCCATCAAACTGTGGAAAAACAAATTTAATAATAGGTCTTCTGTTGCATGAAAATGGATTACATTTTAAGAATGTATATTTATACTCAAAAACACTGTATCAAACTAAGTACATTTATTTAGAGAACGTCTTTAAATTGCTACCTAGTGTTACGTTTGCAAAATACAGTGATAATGAATTGATTCTCAGTCCACATGATGCTAAGCCCCATTCTGTAATAATTTTTGATGATGTTCCTTGTGAGAATCAAACTAATATGCGAGATTATTTCGCTATGGGCAGACATAAATTTATTGATTGTTTTTACTTAAACCAAACATATAGTAAAATACCAAAACAACTAGTAAGAGACAATGCAAACCTTATAATATTATTTAAACAAGACGATATAAATTTACGACATGTATATGATGAACATGTGAATACAGATATGTCGTGGTCAGAATTTCGGGAAATGTGTTCAAAAATTTGGAAAGATACATACAACTTTTTAGTTATTAATAAAGATTGTGCAAAGAATGACGGTTGCTACAGAATGAACTTCGACACCTTCGTTACTTTCGATGAGTAACAAAATAAAGTTACTTTCAATCTAGAACACAATTCATTTAAGAAGTAAAGCTATAAGATACAACACGTTGCATAACTCAAGCTACTGTTCTTTCAAAATGGAAATGGAATTAAAAGCTGAGGTTGTTCGAGCTGCAGAAGGTGTTAAAAAGAAGCTGAAGGAAATGCGTATGAGGGAATCTTATCAAGAAAACATGTTAAATACAGTTTTTCAACCCATCACTAAACCACTTCATCAAATAATTCATCATAACACAAATCCTTCAAAATCTAACAAATCTAAAGTCCATGAAGTACCTAAAGAAGACAATTTGAATACAGACTCATATTTTAAACGTAACGATTCCATATCCGAGTCCCATGATAGCGATTCTGATGACAATATTGATGAAAACAGTTTCGATGGTCAAAATAAAAATAATACAAGCGATACATCGTTTGCAACAGTCGAGTCCGTCCATAGTCCTAACCGAGATGCTTTGTCTTGGTCATTATCTTCGGAAGTATTTGAGGATGTGCCATTTGGTGTCAGAAGAGAACGAGGTAAACTATTGATGGGTAACTCACGTGTGGAAGTTCACGAGGAGAATATATCCGTAGCAGGTCGAGTATACAAGAAAACTCCTGGATTATATGAACTTTTGTTCAAGAGAGTTCCTGAATTAAATTTGGTTACAGAAAAAGATTCCCAAGTATATAAAGCATTGTTGTTAGAAACAAATGCTCATCGAAGAGATTATGATCCAAATAAACCAATAAAAACTAATCGAGGTCGAAAGTATTTGCAAATTATAAAACCGCTGTTTAAGTTACGTAAACCGTCAACATCTTCTGTTTCTTCTAGAACAGAACATTTAAGTGAAGGAGAAGGGTTAAGACTTAAGAAAAAGTTTAAGAAATATACTGATTATATTTATTGGGATGATCCTAATGAGTTAGTTGAAAGATTAAAATTACTGATAGCTTCTAAAGAAGCAGGAAATACTGGAGTAGAAAATGAAATAATTTCTATTATTGAAGAATTACGTGAAAACGGAATTATAAAATAGTTGTTATAGTTTATTGTTTTTTATTTACACACTCTCCCTTGATTGCATCGGATCTCTAATTAATAAAAATGAATATTGATAAATTCGGGCATCATGTCCACAAAAGGCTACGTTTGTCTGAACTGTTAGATTTTAGGGAAAACTCTTTAATGAAATCAGAAAGTGGGTGTTTTAATTTACAATCATCTAGATTAACTGGAGTCAACACACCTTTGGAAAAGGATGACGCTGTCAATAAACAATACGTAGATGAAAAAATTGCAACCTTGTGCACGAAGCATGAACTGCATGTTTGGATTGAATCAATAAAAGCTGATATCACCAACAAAATAAAACAGTTTGAAGAGAAGTTTAACACTAAGAGCTTGAATGAACAGAATGTAACCAACAGAAAAAATGGTCAAGCTCCAAGTAGTAAAAGAAATCCATAGGTCTGCACGTAAAAACTTTATTCGAAGATCTGTTGTACTAAAAGGCATTAATGATCTATGGCAAGCAGATCTAATTGATTTTAAATCTTTAAAAAAATATAACAGTGGTTACACATATATTTTAATTGTTATTGATTGCTTTAGCAAATATGCATGGGGTATTCCCTTAAAGTCAAAATCGAGAAAATGTGTGGTTAATGCGTTTAAGAGAATTCTCAAAACAAGTGGTCAATCTCCTGTTCACTTACAAACTGATATGGGAACAGAATTTTACAATGAATCATTTAAAGAACTAATGCAGTCACTAAATATAAAGCACTATTCGACTTACTCTACAAAAAAAGCATCTATTGTTGAAAGATTGATAAGAACATTAAAGAACAAATTGCATGTATCTTTTAGCTATAACGGTAGTTACAAATGGGTGGGAAAGACTTTAGAAGATGTTTTGAATACTTA